AAATCGATGTCGATTTTCTACATTGTTAGGAATTATTGATAGAAAATCCTCAGGGATTTTACATATGGACTTTTCGAAAATCAAAAAGTCGGATTGTTTTCTACTTTCTAGAAAATCTTCAGCGAATTTCCAGATGATGAGGAAGAACAATTTGAATGAGAATGCTGATAATCAGAGACTTGCTTGAAAATGGCTGAAGCCTAAACTTTTTTTGCCATTATTAAAAGCTATTGAACTTCGAAGTTGAGTGAAGTGTATTATTTCAGCTTATTGGATGACAATATGGATCTTTTAATAATGAAAACCAAATTCAACATCGCTCACGTGTTGAACGACTGTTATTTTATTTCAAAAATAACGAAAATAAATGTGAATTGATAGGATCATGGCGTTGAGTTAATAGAACAAAATACATTTTTGGAAGATGCTAAATTCAGACATAAAAATGAGGAATATTAGAAAAAGCAAATCGCTTTGTGATCTTCAGAAAGTTGCGGTGGAACTCGACTGTGTCTTAACCAGGCAAACCAAGAACGTTTTCAGTACCTCTTTGTGATCTCCAAGTGTCATACGGCAACAATACTTCTCGAAGAATATGCTGATTTGCAAGAACTAAGAGAACTTTCCGAAGCTACTAACATTTCCGATGTTAAACACTAAAACGAGCAGAGATCTGTTACACAACAACTTGTTGCAATGTAGAGGCTTTAATAGATGTGAAAGAAGCAAGAAAAAAATCACTGAGGATTTTATAAAAGTATTGGATAAATAAGTATTGGATTAACTCTTGTATAAACATCAAACATGAGCGTAAAATTCTCAGGATCAATTTTTGTTTTACTATGACAGTAATCCATTTTATTATCCATTAAACATATCACACTAAACTGTCCACTTACGACAGTGATCATGTCCTTGTTTAGATTTTTTTAATACAGACACTTCGAACAACCAATCTGAACAAGGATTATCATGTTTTTTTCTAATTTCAACGTCTGTCCTGTTGAGTAAAATAATTCTCAAGGATCTTAGCTACCGTTAAGTCTTGATTACTTCTGTTCCGTATTTTCAGGTTGAATTATATTCATCTGATTGACTTTGTTGCACTTAACTCTCACATTCCAACCTGTGCGATGTTTGCCTGGTTCAGGTGGGAATATTAGAGTTGATAAACACAAATTTTTACACTTATGTTTTTGTCAAATATGAAACAATGGTTCCTAAAAGCGACAGTAGAGACATTTTATTATAGAATCTATCTATACTCATGAATAGGAACAAGAATGCACTATTAATGATTTATGTGACGTGATTAATAAAAAACTTCAATAAATTAGGCGGATCACTAGAACTTGGTGAATAATTCGTCACAATCAGGATCAACAAACGTGTCTTAAAAAATTAGCTTCTGAATGACCACTCTAAACGATATTTGAAAACTTTTAAACTACGCCGTAAAGTTTAGAACATTAATGTATTTTATTTTTGTACTGATTAGCATCTCTATTGTCAGAAGAGTTCAAAATTCATTTCCTTGTGTATTTTAGATATTTACAGATTTTCCACCTGATCACGGATGCCAATTCGTTTTTTGTGCTTCATCTCGTGCTTTCGAGTTCATTACGATTACTTTATAAACTCGAACTCACAGATGGATTACGAAATAACAGCAACAAATGGCATATAGCGAGCATTCAAAATAAGCGATTTCGACAATTCATTCAATACATACATAATCATTCTCTCTCACAGAGTTGTCATTAATTTTCTTGCATTCGTAAATATTATACGTAGGACATACCAAAAGTAACGAAATTTGCAGGTAAAATCCCGCAGACTAGAGGTAATTAAGTGTTCACTTCAGCAAGTATTTGAGCTAGTAGACATGATTACCCACGCACAATAAATTTGTTTCAAAACATTTGCTGATAGTTTTTTTCGAACCATCTTTGATTGGAAAATTGAGTACTTTGGTTACAGCACTGCATACAACGATTATGAACTATTTTGATCGATTAATTTCCTTGAACATGGCCGACTAAAGTAATATAGCGAATACATAAAGTGGTAGTAGGTCACAAGTTCTAGATTTGACACACATAAACGGACTTCAGTTCTTCGAATTAGAAGGATTGCAAGAGAGGAATCTCCTACCGATTACAGTTTGACGCAACAAGTTAGCCTCACAACAATGTTTCATGCCTTTTCTCAAACTAACTAGCCGAATACTCCTAAAAAATAGACGGATATGGAAAGAGAGCATATTTCTAATTACCAATATTATATCAAAAATCCCCTAAAACTACTTATAGCAAGGAGTAAAACAGCAAAGATCATCGGATAGTGTTTCGAACATCAAAAGTCATTATTACAACTTTCAACCGTATATTCACAAAGCTGTTTTTTAGTATCTTGCATCAAAACGTATCTAAATATTTTATATTCACCGTATTCTACGGGTCCAATACAACGTAGTTTTCAGGTGTTCTATCTAATTCATAAGCTTAATAAATATCAAACGACCTTTAATCACTGCACTGAGTGCTGTAACAAAATTGATGAATTCTTCAATCAAAGACGATTCGAACAAAACTTTCAGCAAATGTTTTGAAACAAATTTATTGTGTGTGGGTAATTATGTTTACTAGCTCAAATACTTGTTGAAGTGAAAACTTAATTAGCTCTAGTCTGCAGGATTTTGCCTGCAAATCTCGTTAGTTCTGCTATGCCCTTAGTATCATAAGATAACTATCTAAATTTCTACACAGATGCCACACAAAATTGAACATACTCATAGCACATAACAAACCACAAAATGGTTATTATAACAAGAAAACTCAAGGCAAGCAACTCAGTAAACGTAAATATAATGGAAAAATAGATATTAAAAAAATGAAACTGCAAATGTTCAATTTTTTCAAGAATATAACTACGACTTCTGGTGCTTCGAAAATATCAAGAATAGATGTATGATATAGATAACTTGTAGAATGCAAAATTTGCAACACTTGCTTAAATTTGATATTTCTCTAATAATGCACTAAATACAAAAAATTGATAAATATTAGTTGCATGCAGAAAAGTATTTGAGCACAAAATTTACGATTATTGTTTATTAACTAGAAAAAGTTACTACTCTATCGCTGTAATTCTTCTCTCACCACTTAAAATTTGTATAACTGGCGTCATCTAAAGTGTTCCGAAAAGAGAGTATGAAATGGCATTGACGTAAAGAAACTAAATGACTAAATCCACTTTATAAACTTTTTCTATGATATATTATAGAACTAAACCGTAAACAGAGATATTTTCTGCTTGTCTCCGGTACCGATCTGGTTACTTAAGTGGGATTTATAAAACATAGGAATCTTATTAGACTAAATTACATTTTAGTTAGTTACTATTGCAATTATGATTTCATAAAGAAGATAAATTATCCATTTTAAACATTTCTGCTCAAAATGAGACGTTTTTCATCTAGTGATGATGAATTATTCAAAAGTAATAAAAATTGTACAATTGTGCTTAAAATACGCACTATACACCAACACTATCGTATTTCAAAAGCGCTTTTTCGTTTCTTAGTGCTCACCGCTCATTGCACTTTTTCTCCGTTCGCTAAATGTAGCGTTGAAGAGCTCGGATTAGTTTTAAATTAAAGCTAACAGTCATTGTTATGACGTAAAGGAGCCCAATCTCGGAATTCTGGCTTCCTTTGAGATTAAAGTTTTCGACGAAATCTTATACGTATTTTTCGGATTTGAAGCTAAAATAGTTTTCGTTTCGAAAGAAAGAAAAACTTAAAAAATTCATCTCTATTGCGTTGCTTCCATGGCTATGACTACCAGTTGAAACTAACCCGGATTCTTCGATTTCTATCCCTAACGAAACTTTTTGTATCCAAGATCTTGGAAAAAACAACAAGAAATCAAGATCTTGGTCGAGATTTTGGGTAAATTGAGTCAAAATGTTTCAGAGTATTGTGATGAAAACTTCTTACTTTTTCTTTCTGATATGACATTCATAACCATTAGACATACAGTCATATGTGATCATAGACTCATCCTTGAACAGCTTTGCTCAAGAAGGGAAAAATTTCGAAGTTTTATGTAAGCAAGAATGTGAAACAAAACGATAATTCAAGCCTTGGCACAAGAACGCAAGAAATTTAAAGATGTGCAAGATCTTAGACTCTGGGAATCTCTTGAGTTTTTTACGCTTTCTTACCAAGCTCTTACTGAAAAAATTCAAGAAGCTCCACTAGAGATATGTGAGGAGAAATCTACTAGACGCCAAAAGCCTGATTTTAACCTTTATTATGGCGGCATTTCGTGAGCAATGATAGATCGTACCAAAAGAAAAATTTTGTCACCATACTCTGGCATGGCTCAAAGTTTGGTTTAAGTCATCCGCCGAAGACAAGTTTCAGATATCTGGGAAGTTTTGACGAGTTGACTTTGAAGAAGCCAAGAGCTAAATTTTTTATTGACATTAGGTTTCGATAGAATTAGTGTCAAACTCTACAACTGATAGCGTTTAAAACAAATGTATTATTTCGTAACACAATAGAAAATATAAAACAATATAACAAAATAACAAAAATAGTGAAAACTAAAAACTATAATTTTCGAAAATCACACTTAAGTAAACGGGTATAAGTCTTTTTAAATTGTATATTAGCTAATGCATAACAAAATGGATTAATTGGACTGTTTAAGTAGCACATGTAATAACAAATATGATACAGATAGGTATTGAACACTACCATACTTTGACACGGAATACACAATGTTTGAATTATCGTATGAATATGCCACTAGAAAAAGACAAATATATTTTATACTTTCTGATAAAAATTTGAACATCAAAAATCTCTAAAAGAATACTTTGAAAATAGTAAATAACAAATGCGTGAGTCTCTATTTCTTTTGAATGATATTTTATATTGGAATTCATATGTTTTACTCACAAGCACGTAAAAAGCGAGCCTTGCTGTTTTTTTATAGAGTAATACTCACAGGCGTCCAACATAAGACAAAAGCACCTAAAACAATAAATAAGAAAAACGACAGTTAATAATTGATTTAAAGCTATTCTCTTACCCATGATAAATGTTATTGTTCGTAATGCTTTTCTCGCTTTGTTGCTTGTTCTTGCCGCTTTTTGTTGCTGATTATTAATAATCGTTTTTGGCGATTGTGAACCAATGACTGTTGGAGTTATGGACATTAACAAATTTTTACTTTCATCATTCGTTTTTAAAACGCTTTTATTAGGCGTATTTTCATCACTTGTATCATGTGACGACGAATGATTTATCGCTTGTGTATAATCATCTTCATGATTATTTTGATTTTGATTAGAACCATTTGAAGTACCTGCATTTTGATAAACATGTGCATCTTCGATATCATCATCGAGACTATTCTCAGAAAAACGTTCTTTTGCTGATATTTTTGTGGTAATAACAGTCTTTTGAACTGTTTCATTTGTCGTCTTCTTTTGATCTCGACTATCTAGCAGTTTATTAGAAACTGTTTTGGATGAAGGCACTAATAGAGGAGGTTTATTGATGACTATTTCTTGATTATCAGATAGGGCATCACGAGGTTTAGACATTGTCATAACTAAATTTGTCATTGCTGAACTTGATAAACCGATTAAATTTGATACTTTTTTCGCTTTAGCATTTGAACGTCGTTCAAGATTACTTGCAACTTGATAGATGAAAAAATACAAGACAAACATAACAAGTAATGTTATCCAAAAATAGCCAATTGTTAATGCTAAAATGAAACAAAATAATGTTGTTGATTTACAGACTGACAAGTCATGCAATTAATACTTACACAAATTGAAAAATGGATCTTTGTTCCATTGAACACTAAATTAAATGAAGAGGTATAATTTAGCATGCAAACGTTTAGGGCAGTTTGTGTTTTAGATTTCTTTCCTAAACTATATTATTTCATGAAGATATGAATAGCACTGGTATAATGTCTACATGCATCATATATTAACGACTATCTCAATCACTAATCGTTAATATGTCAACAAAAAAATATAGTTTTCCCAGCGGACAAACTTCAATACAATTATGGAACACACGACTTAATTTTGCGAATCGGGCAATTCAAAAAACGATCGAAGTCTGGTCAGTAACAAAAGCAAAAACAAATGTATTATTTAGTTGGAGTTGAGTTGGAGTTTGCTTTTTAAACGACCGGAATTGAGCTGATGACAGATTTTATCAACTTCAACTTCGAAACTCCGGTTCAAACTTTCTTCAACCCCATTTTCTTTTCATTACGACCGTTCTTTTAGTTTGGTTTTTATGTATTTTTGTCGCGAGACATAAATGTATGCTCAGCATATACTAACATATGATACACCTCACATCTCGGACGAATTTAAAAACAGAAAGGAAAAAGAACGAATAGATTTCAACTCGGAGTTGAAGGAGTTGGAGATGAGACCCTCGAAGTTGGAGTCGCACGTAGGCGGAGTTGCCGACCTCTGCTCAGAAGTGTTGTAATAAAAAAGTTTAAAAATCAATTTTTATGTTAAATAAAGTGTTTTCCATAAATAACGAAAGATAATTTTAAAAAAGTTGAAATTCAAATATTTCTTATGAAAGGATAGTCTTCTTAAATGTACTATGTGAAAAAGTGTGAAAAACCGCGCAAGATCGCTCATTGCTATTTTACATAGTCCAAATTTTGCAAGAATTTTATTTAAAAAGCTTCCACAGAACCGTCACCACCGGAGAACTTAGATGCAAAAAGCACTACTCTTCTAGAACTCTGTTCTGCCATTAGTATTAAAGAATAAGACATGCACGAGGGGTCTACAACTCTTTTCCATGTGACTAATATACTTTGCAGCTCTATAGTATAACTGAGATCGAAAGACACATACTCGCATTAACAAAAATCTATCACTTGATAGAAGGTAACAGAGAGCTCATGAAAGTGTTTTATATTCCACCAGTTCGCTCACATCTCGAAATGCTATGGTTTAAGAAAATATTCCAAAACACAAACTCACATAAACTTTTGTCTGCCATATTAAATCAAAAAGACCTCTCAACTAAGTCATTTACTGTAAGACGATCGAGAGCTCATCTACATCATAGTGAAAATATCGGATTACAGCGGTTTAAAGCAAATTCTTACAGATGTGAGATCCTCGCTAGAAAATGATTTATACTTTATTTTTCCAATGTTAATGATCGTATTCTCTAAAAACAAAGGTTGATTAATAAACCTAAATGGATTTCGGACTGGATGTTTTCCTCTCTCAAACCCATTTAAAGGTTGATTAATCAACCTTTTTTTAGAGAGTTGTATTTATCAATGACCCTAATAGTTTTACTCAATATTATTGATCATTTCTTTTCATTATTATTACCAAGATGTTATCTATACTGTTTTCGACACATGTTATCGCTAGAGACTGTGGAAAACAGTCCTAAAATGTGTTTGACGATAAATAGAAGTTAGTTTTGTCGTCATATATATTAATACCGTAGTGACCGAGTCAAACATGAAAATGACAAACTTAGTTAGAGCATATTCTTGCACTATATGCCCCATTAGAAAAGATGTTTCAAGAATTGAAACAATTCAACAGACTCTCTTAAGTTCAAGGTTTTCTGAGTAGTAGCCGCTGTACTGTCATTGTAAAAAATTACACGAATTTTGGACGACTGGACTGTAAATACAAAGTTAGGACAGAAATATTATACTCATTATTTCTATAAGATCAAGCATAAGATAAAAATCCTTTAAACTACTCTACTTACTCGCATTGTGAATTATAATAGTTTCCAACTGAGTTTTTTACCATATAGGGATAGCCAATTGTGGATATAAAAAATATTAATGTTGGTATAATCCATGTGATTAATATCATCATAATGATTCGGTTTTTTGTTCTCCAATTTCGATATTTAGCTGGTAATTTAACGGAACAAAATCGATCGATCGTTATTAACAAAACAGTATAAATCGACGCTAAACACACTGTATAATCGACCGATAACCATATATCACATAAAAATGAACCTAATAACCAACGTTCTTTGTAAATATACAACGTAAACATGGGTATCGATGAAATTCCGATAAGAAAGTCACTAACAGCAAGTGAAAAAATAAAATAGTTAGTTGGATGACGAATTTGTCTATCGAGAAAAAATGCGACAACAACTAACATATTACCACCAATTGTCAATAAACTTGATAATGCACCAATAACAGCAATTAAATATTTTAACAGACACGGATATGAGCCACAGTTCGTTGACGAAACTAATAATGATGATGAATTTAAATATAAACCTTTAGTGACGAATTCAATTAATAGACCATTATATTGTGAATTATCTTCAAATGGGGAAATGTTAAACCATGTTGAATCATTAAAATATGTCAATTCTAACATATGTAGTCTTTATTATGACCTTGTTATAGAATCATTGATAAATTTCATATTCTAAAATGAAAATATACAACAAATGTTAAGGAAATAGAGAACTAACACATCACGCATACATGGTGCATTGTTTACAAGAACTATTTTGCGATCTCAGAATATTTTTGTTCAAACCTCTGTCAGGCACCACATGAATAGGCAAATATTTCAAATATTAAAACTTGATGATGATTTCCTTTTTGTAAACGAAACTGATCGGTAGAATATGGTCAATGCTGATATATTGTTTGATACGATTTTTAATTTTAGGAAATATTGTCATTTTTTAACAGATGAATTTATCAAAAAATGCAAGCTCTTATTTTTGTACTTATCACCGGTGCCGATAGACTTATTATAGATGTATTTGATGACAAACGTAATACGTTTTCTTTATCATCAATCACACTGTCATTCTATTAAACGTACCTCATTAGATAGTGTAGTCTATGTGTGACATTTACCGCAGCTTCTGGATATACTCACGGGATTTTTCTGAGCATTCAAAATTTTGATACGAATATCTCTCCTCGTCAAATTTTTCGTAGAGAGTCAAAAAATCTACCAGAAAAAATAGTACAAATATTCTGACAAATTGTATCGTTTCTAGTGAGAGAAAAAGGAAACTTTTCATCGAATGTGTGTAAGTCAATTCTAAGAATCTTTGTGTATTGCGGTACTCTTGAAGTTTGATACATATGCCAGAAGTTAGCTCATTCAAACACTCTTCCTCCTTTACACAATGAAACAGAAAGCTGATAGTTAGTAAAATACAAATTCCAAAATACAAAAAACTAGAAACTCTGTAGGACAAGGCAAACATATGAGTTAATCATGTGTGCTAAAACAAAATTAGTGCGGAAATTTGATTCTTTTTATATAGCTGAGAGCGATGTCTAATCTTATTAAAAGCATTTTTAGTACACCTGTACAACTAATGCATATATAAAACTTGCTCAAAACTATCGCGGATTTTGTGTTTGATTCAAGAACCGAATATTTCTGGACTTTTTTTTTATGGGAAAAACTTTTTTGTTGTTATAATGTAAAAACATTTACAAGATTAAATAATAGTAACAACTAAATGTACTACAGTCTAAAGTTAAGTAGGCAATACAAAAGAAAAGAACACTGAGTCATAGAAGAAAATATGTTTCTGATATAAACACAGATGTTTAAAAAAATAGATCAGTATAAAATTACAACCCTTAAATTGGGCGAAGAAAATATCCTTTTCTTCTCGCAAAATTGTTTAGAAAGTCTCCTATGCGATGACTTACTATAGAAATAGATACTGGGCAAAGTCCATACTAAAAAGGTGTACGACAAATCTAAATAAAAAATCTTCACATATTAGATAGTTTCGATCTAGAAAAAAGCTTTTAGTAATTAAAAATAAAATATTCGTGTAATCTTCTTAAAGTTTGTCTCATGAAAGATACTACTTACTTCTTTGTGTATAGACGTTGACGTGTACATGTGTCATCTAACCGTAGAATAATGAGCGTACAGTTGTTATGGAAATATATTTTAACACAGTTAAAAATATAGAAAATATAGGAAAAAAAACCAAGTGTCTCTGTATCTTTGTCTAAATATTTCTTGATAGATCTTATTCCACGTCTCTCTTTTCTGACATCACAAAACGTTCTTCTCTTTTTTTTGTCCATATCGTAACTGATTTAGATAAGAAATTGTAAAAATATCCTCTGTACATGTTCTTTCCGAATCGTATCTCGTATCGATCGTCATATATCTTTTAGGACTTCCTATGCACAATGTACATTAAAACACATCTTGCAATTTTGTTTTTTTTCTCTAAATAGTAATAATCATCATCAAATATCGATGAACGTGTATATATGGGTGAAAATAATATTTTTACACCAAAACATGTTGTAATTGAAATTATATGATGCTAAACCGTAAACTACAGCAAATAAAGACAGAAGAAGAAAAATAAATCGAAAGAAAAAAAACAATTGTATAAATAATAATGATCATCATTTATCAAGAGACACGAATGGGGTTCTCCTTTTTTCTTCATCAAACACTATTATAGTGAATTGTCAATTCATATATAACGTTTATGAAATTACGTACGTTGGTAATATCTATTTATCTTTTTTTTTTTCATTCTAAAGAGTTTGTATTGTCAAATAATTTTTTTCTCTTCTTCTATCCACTTGTGTATGTTTTTGTTAAAAAAAGATGCTGTTGATGTTGTCTTTGATAGTAAACGGCATAAGTCATACAAATAGAATTTATCATCGTTTCTTAGTGTTTTTTTTTTTTCTTTTTTTATTCATGGTGGATATAAATTACGATAAATTAATAAATATACACGACAATGAATGAATTCCAATTCGATTTTACGACATATACACATAGATATAAAAGAGAACAATCGATCACGATTTTCATGTGTGTGTGTGTATATGTGTGTGTGTGTGTGTGTGTGTATATGTGTGTGTGTGTGTGTGTGTGTATATGTGTGAAAATATATCTAACTGCATGTATACCTATGTAGTTCTATTTTTTTTAAATATAAATTCTTTTATATTTTTTGTTTCAAGTTGCCAGTATTCCATTGAGAATCAAAAATGAAAAATGATTTTGTTTTTATGTTACTTACTTTTCACATGTGTTATCCTTCAAACGATGATGACGGCTGTTGTATAATGAAATTTTTATGGTAATGTTCACAAAAAATAATAAAAACTATTGATAATATTGAACATAAAAGAAAACAGTATGTGCAATATATAACTATATACTTGCCGATAAAATCAAATGATAGAAAAAAAATAATCTGAGTGTTGTAAATTTTATATCATGAAATATCATGGTAGAAAGATATATCGAGATGCGTAATGCCTATAAATGTACAAAGAAGTGAGACGAATCCTTCGTGAAGCGTTATCTATCATCGTATCAATTTGAAATGTTCTTCATACTAATTTTAGGAAATCTTCTATCTATCCGTAGTTGAGAAAGAGAGAATCGTTGCTAATTCAATAACTAAGATATATTAGAGTGTTGCATGGTCATCTGTTAATTGTTCGAATTACAACTTACGCATGCGCCCTCCTCTTTAATTTGCGAGATAAAGTCAACATTTCAGTGATAACAGTGGTAGCCAATTATTCATTGTAAAATGTCTTTCGTCTCTTACAATAATTTCAAACATCATGATCGTTTTTCACATAACGCATGGTTTTGACTAGTTGATGTTTTCTCATCAATTGTCTGATCGATTGATCAAATTTTTTTACCAATCAACTATTGAAGAGGACAAAGAGTGGCAATGAACATAAAGAAGAATATTCACTGTGAACAATCTTGACATTGTTCTTCTTTTTCTTGATCAAATGTTTCATGTATTCGTTCAAACTAAAAATTTGCAAAATTAATTGAATGAGGTAGTCCAAGAACTATAATTATAATAACTAAATATTCAGAGTTGAAAATCTTTAATGTTTTTGATGAATTTAAATATCGAGAGTAAATATTGTTTAGAAAGTTGATAATATTAGACATAAAATAAAATATATGCAAGAAATTATTTGTTAATTTTATTTCTTCTGATATAAATAAATGATCCTTGATGTTTGGAGTGTGAATTAGTGCAAATTGGCAATAGGGTGATGGTGATTACTATGGTTATCGATACAACTGTTTTCTTCTGTTTCATAAAAAATGTTTTTAGTGCAGAGAAACATAGTTTCTTTCACACAATTAATCAAACAAACACTTCATTCCTTAACATTTTTTTTTTTGGTTCTCGATCCATATGTATCTACACTGACGAATTATTAATAATCGTGAAGTATGTTTCGACCTTACTGGAGCTTCTATCGGTACGAAGAAATGGGTGTCAAAATGTGTAGAACAGTTTATGATTTAGTGAAATAATTATGACAAATATATATATATATATATACAGAGAGAGAGAGAGAGAAAGAGAGAGAGAGAGCGCTACACAAGACCAACAATGTTAATCAATGATAGGGCAGGGCATAATTTGGAAACTGAGAGGAAGTCGTTGTGAAAACAACATATATTCTACAATGTCAATAAGTCTTTCAATTTTCCAAGTCCAATAAAACCATATCCTGAATATTCGATAGGTGATTTTCGTAGAAAATAGTAAAAGCTTTATTTCACATTTCATCAACAAATGGAGTATTTTTGCAATCAGAAGAGATGCTCTATTTTCTTATCATTCTGTTACGTAGAAAGAAATATCATTCAAATTCTTCCAAATAAACGTCGTCCAACTATATTCCAGTAAATATTTTTCTAGACCTAGTGCAGATGAGAACATGCTAAACAACTTTTATTCATAAAAAACAAAGCGCAGGGAAATATGTAAAGTTGTTTAATGCGTCAGATGTTCCGTTTTTTGTTTCTAAACATTCTGAGGTACATGAATACGTTAAAAATATATTCGTAAACGTCTGACGCATTAGTATACGTTAAATGATGTATCATCGATAATTTATCATAGAAATCTACTTTTTGCTGAATTTTATCTTGATGTTGCAGTCGGGCAACCGTGCTCCACTTGACAAAAGTCACATTTACCAGTCCAAGTAGAGAACAAAACGGAAAGAGAAATTATTAGTTGAAACGCATTTAATTATTTTGTTCAATATCCCTTTTAACTTTTCAATTTCACATGTTCTAACACACATTAGATACCAAAAAATACTCACTGGAATTGTTGAAAAAATTTAGATATCCAGAACGATAGAGAACATTTTATTTTAATTTTGTACCGAATGAATTAAAATTTGTTTAAAAGAATACAGTCGATCTGTTATAAAAGCAAAGGAGAAGGGCGAAGGAGTTAGTAAAAACTATTTTCTTCCCTTTCAAATATGGTCGGAAATCGAACACAAATTTTCAAATATCAGTATGTAGACAGTGAGTAGCTGAGCCATTCACGTTAATGTGCTATTTTTTCT